CTTCTGTGTGTGGTAAAAGGACAGGGATTATCAGGCATCAGAGTGTCCCACAGCTTTAAAATTCACTAAGCACCTTATGAAAGGAAGAGAGGATAAAAAGATATGACTCCTGCTCTGGGTGGGAGACAAAAGAGGAAGCAAAATAAAATCGGCAGAATAGCCAACCTCCCTGTGCTAGCATCCTGAGAGTTTTTTTGAAGAATGTGATTTACAAGTGTTGCAAGAGAATGACTGGCTTCACGTCTGCTCAGGAAGCTGGAGTAATGGATGGCTAAATAAGGTTGGGGAGGTGAAATAGCAGGCTTCCACCCTTACCTCGCCAAGCTGAGCTCAAAACTGTAAAGCCATAGCACTAAATACTAAGTGCGCAGCTCTCTGGAGAGAGTGTAATTGAGGAAATTACAGACTGTCATGTTAGGAGTCGTACTGCAAATTTTGCAACTCTCAGGCTACCCAAGTCATTGAAATTACACCTAGTAAGGAAGCCTTTTCTTCTGTCCTCGATGGGAATGGTGTTTTGTGGAAGCTTAAGACACAGGGTGAGATTCAGTCCAGCACCTTAGGTACCTGTCTGGTACTTATCTGTTAGATGCTTTAGTGAGGCAGTCTTCCTGAAGTAAGCACTTAAGGTCTATATCTGGTCAGTGGAGAGAGGAAGGTCCTACAGAAGATCTCCAGAGGGATATATCATCTGCCTCTGTGGTAACTGGACAAGCTTTTCCTGTTGGTAACTTCAGAAGCACTTTATTTTCTCCACCGAGGAGGACTGCTTCCTTCACTACTGATGCTTAGGCACCAGTTCAGGGCTTAAGCTAGTTGGGCAACATCCGGGCCATACCTATTATGATAAAATGGCCAACTTAAGGAGCCTGTTTATCTTCATCTTTTCCAGTCTGAGCAAACCTTGGTAATCAGCCCTGCTTTGTCCTTGTAAACTGTGCAATTTACTGTCCTGACAATTATTAGTGCCAATAGATGTACCAGGTCTGGCTGGGATGGAGTTAATTTTCTTCATAGCATCCCATATGGTGCTGTGTTTTGGATTTGTGACCAAAACAGTGTTGATAATACAACGTTTTAGCTGTTACTGAACTGAGTTTGCATAGCATCAAGGACTTCTCTGTTTCTCACGCTGCCCTGTCAGTGAGCAGCCTGGGGATGCACAAGAAGTTGGGAGGGGACACAGCTGGGACAGCTGACCCCAACTGACCAAGGGGATAGTCCACACCATATGACATTGTGCTCAGCAATAAAAGCTGGGGAAGAAGGAGGAAGGAGGGAGGTTCAGAGTTGTAGCTTCTGTCTTCCAAAGTAACTGTTACGCGTGATGGAGCCCTGCTTTCCTGGAAATGGCTGAACACCTGCCTACCGATGGGAAGCAGTGAATGAATTCCTTGTTTTGCTTTACTTGTGCACACAGCTTTGCTTTATCTATTAAACTGTCCTTATCTCAACCCACGAGTTTTGTCACTTTTACCCTTCCGATTCTCTTCCCCGTCCCGCTGGGCAGGAGTGAGTGAGGGGCTGCATGGGGCTGAGATGCCTAGCAGGGTAATCCCACAACAATGGAGAAGGACTCCAAATATTTGTTACCTTTAAGAAGGAATTATTAGAGGAAAAAAAGACGTTTGTAATAAGATGTACTGAATAATTTTTTGATCTAACTTTTTGCTGTTAACAAGTCTCTATTAAGCAAGGTACTATTTCCCCAAACAAAGGTGTGAATATTTGCTTATGCTGTTATGCAAACAGAAGACTTAATGCCTATGCTGATTTTAACACAGAGTGGAACAGAAGAAAACAAATATCACATAATTCACAAAAGATATTTTTAGTATTCTAATGATTTGTTTGGATATACGGACTATTGAACTAACTCTTCACAGATAAAAGTGAAAGCTTCTTAGTAAAAGCTGCACATACCCCTCCCCCCCGCCATTTCTATGAATGGTGAGGAAGCTGAGGCACTAAGAGGTTAGTGATATAAGAGCTGTCCTCAGTCACACAGGGTGATAGAAAAACAGAAAAACAGAAGAAAAGTCTCCTAATCTTGATATTGACAGTTAAAGCATTGTCATCACCACTAATGAATCCAGCAACATTTCCAGACAGGTATCTCTTGAGAAATTCATGTTATGCAACCACAAAAGACCTGTGGAACTAGGGAAAGCATGTAATTACATTAGATTCAGAGAACCTGTTACAATTATTGATTAAGCTTGCCTATACAGAGAACTACCCTAGAGAATTACCTCCCTAGAATCCCCTATGTAATGAATGACTAGTAAAGTTTGTTACATATTTTTTAATTGCTTTTGTAGTTTTTTAGGGTATATAACTGAGGCAAGAACAGTAATCAGTACTCTACTCGGACAGTTCAAATTTACCAAACAAATTTGGCACCAGAACCAATTACTTAATTTTAACTGAGATTTTGAAACATTCATATTGCCTTTTTCAAAGTTTTGTCCCATCTCTCCTCTAATGGAGTTTCCACTGTGGAATCACAGAAGATAGAGCTGGAAAAGACTTATTACATCATCAGTTCTACCTTTTTGATTTTAGAAGACGCGAGTGATGTCACTATCCCCTTTGACCCATTCTTTTACTTAATCCTGAAAACTAGCTTAAATTGACAGGATTTCTACATGCCCCGTCTAATCTACTTTAAAAAAAAAAAAAACCTCAAACCCCAAAAGATAGGATATTAACAGCAAAAACAATTACTAAAGCAGCTGAAAGTACATCCTATATTTTAAAGCAATATTTGCTCTAATTTAGATTTAATATGCATAAGCTGTTCAAATATATAATGGTATTGCATTCTAAGGACTGGAGGCACTCCAAGGGTCACAAAGCTCATGAAAGCTTCAGAATAAAGTATAGTTGTCAAGTAAGACTTCTTGAGCTATAGCATGCTTAAAAAATAAAATCAATTGTCTTTAAGTTTTAGAAATTAGACTGATACTTTTATGGCCATTTGTGTTCCAGTGTGCAAAGCAAAAGCCAACACTAGCTGTACATGCACAATGCTGGGCTTTATTTCCCTTCAGTAAAGAGATGTTGTAGTTATGGTGGATAATTCTATGAAAACATCATCTCAGGGGCTGTTAAAAAGCAAGCAGAGTGCTAGGAATTAATAATAAAAAATCAAGAGCAAACACAAAACATGGTGCACCCATGTCTTGACTACTGCAACAGATCTAGTCACACATCTCAGACAGGAGACAGTAGAGTAGGAAAGGTACATAGAGAGACACAAGGTGGGTGGATAGATAGAAGAGAGATAAGGATAAACTATGGTCTGGGTCAGCTTCTGTATCACAGAGATTAAAACAGAGAAGACTATGGAAGAAAAGACAGCTGAAGGGGGATATGCGAGAGCTCTGTAAAATCTTGATCATCCTGGGAACAATTATTCACTGGTCTTCACAATCATAAGAACAAGGAGGCATCAAATGACATTAACATCTAGTAGGTTAAAACAAATAAAAGGGAGTAATAGTTCACAGAGTGCACAGGTCTGTTGTAGAATTTATTGCTACGGGAAACTCTGGATGCCAAAAGTTTAGATGAGTTCAGGAAGTCGCCTCAGAAAACAGCTTGACAAATTAATGAAAGAAAATTCCATCAAGGGCTATAAAACTGACAGAAATAACCTCTGGGCCAGGAAGTCCCTAAGTTGCAGATTGCTAGAAGTTGTGAAGAGTTTTGCTGTGGGTAGGTTGAGAAAGTGCATGTCCACTTGTTTTATCCTTTCCATGTGGCATCTGCTACAGGTCACTTCCTGAAATAGGATACTGAGCTAAATGAACCTCTGCTCTGTAACAGTATAGCTAATCTTACACTGTGCCCTTGTCACAAAGCAGAGATAACGGTGGCAAAACATCCTCCCTTTTCTTCTTCCCATTTAATACACTTCCACCTCTTTCTTTGCTGTACGGATTGAACACACTGCAAAGTAACTTCGTAAAAGCATGAGCTCTTGCTCATCCTTGCTCCAAATATCCTCTGCCTCCAGGTGAAATTGGAAGTGACAGCCAAGGCAGGTCCACCCCGGTACTGCCTCCAGGATGTGGCATCTTGGAAAAAGCTGTCGCATTTGATGCCTGGTGCATACATGTTGGTATGTATATTATTAAATATGTTGGGGGCAGATAGCCTCAGATTTTAGATTGGGGCCAGATGGCTGATTCAGGTGAAAACACAGATACACAGAGGAATGGTCACTCCAAAACGACTGAACTGTATATGTAACAGGATGCACAGGCTCCGAACAGTACTGCATGTCAATTGCTTTATATTTTAACACTAACTGTGCTCATGAAAATAAGAAATAAAGACCTGATGCATCTCAAGACACTGAGAATTTAAAGCTCTTTCTGAAGCTGGCTTTAATTCTTTGACTTTCCAGGTGAACTCTTTGTTTAGGAAGAGACAAGCAGCCACAATTTTTGAGCCTTTTTTCCACTAAAATTACACCGCACCAGTTAAAAGATAAAGTGGAATTTAAGGCTTGTGTTTTCAGATTATTGTGTTTTCAGATTATTACAGAATATACATTATTCAACAACTAAGTAGAAAAACAGGTCACCATATATTAATATTTATGACCATCTCCCTTTTACCCTCCTAAATGCAGAGAATTGCAATATCAAAAGTACAAGCAGAAAAAAAAAAAAGTTTTGAATGCAAATTATAAAGTGTTCATTATCAAGTCTCTCATTCACACGTACTAGTTTTACAACTGAAATTTCCTCATTTAGTTATGGTTTAAGTAGGGTAAATATAGCTTGGATTTACTATTCTCTCCTCTTCCCCCTCACAAGATGTCCAACCAAATCAGGGAATTGCTTAATCAAATTTTTAAGTGAAATGTTAAATCGTGCCTCTTGGCAGCAATCCTCTCCCAGAAGTTTGCATGTTCCCAGTGCTTGGCACTTTCCATTCTCATCGTTTACCTGTGGTGGATATGGAATCAAATATACTACAGGACATACCATGAACAGCTGCAGCAACAGCACCAACAAAAGCAACATGTGTTGTTGGGCCTTTGGTTTCCAGGTGCTTGAGACACAGCTGATGTTCCTTCATTTTGTGACTGCTGCCTCTTTCTCATTTCAGCTACTTCAGTGCCCAAGTGGCTATAAGAACACAGACATAAGAGATGCACAGAATTACTACAGACCGTCATAAAGTACATTCACATTTCTACAGCAATCTCTGATTCTACTGATTCTCACAGTTCGTAGCAACAAAAGCACGTGGCCGTCAACTGTGCTGGCCAACTAATAGTTCTATTGTGTTAAAAGCAGTTTCCAGAAGACCACATTTTAGTGACACGCTTATGCTACTGTGCTGTTGAATCATGTCTATTCTTATCGCTGTGGACGGACTAAAAGGACTGTTTATCACCCTTTTGAACAGCAAGCTACACAGCTTGTGTGGCACTTGGTAGAGACTGAGTTGTTCCTTACCATATGACTATCACAGCTCTTTCCATTGTACTAAAAATACAGTGGGATGGTTATTCGCTTTAAACATGAGCTGGAAACTGATCTTTTTTACTTTTTGACTTCTCTGGTCAATGCTGGACCAATACCACGGGCACTAATAGCTGTCTGTTAAGAGCCAAGATTATTGTAAGTGTCATAACTGGGAGGTTTGCTACTTAAGAGTTATTCTCTGCAAATAAAATGAATAATAAATATGTATTTCCAAAATACTTTTCCAACTTTGGGGCTATTTTCTGGTCACAGAAGATTTTCTCTTGCTCATTGCCAGTCTTTCCTAGGTTTTATTAGGCCAAGAGATTTTTCTTTCCAGTGACTTGCAATATGCAGCTGGAAGTAATATTCCATGCATTACTTAGTTTTGAAAAGAAGTTAAAACATCTATTGCTAAGTTATGTTATTTAGGCATGTTTACATGTCAGAATCCTTCCAGTGGTTCACATCTTCTTTGTACAACAACTATAAGTTTCCCAGAGTAATGGCTATTACAAGCATATGTAAATTAGAATAAATTTAGTACTTTTGCCTTTGAAAAAGTACAAACAGATTACTGTGGGGAGAAGCCCAGTTTTAAACAGAAGTGGGTAGAAGATGGCCTGTGTGAGCAGCATGCACTGTGCTCCACACCCCCAGGGCATCCTGCTGCAGCCAGGAGTGCTGGGGAAAGGCAGGCTCTGGTCGATTTGCCACCTGCATACATCATGCACAGACAACTGAGAGATGTGCTACTCCATCTACATGCATGCAAGCAGCAGCTGTGAGAGTTTGCATTTCTGTGGTTGCTAAAACCCCTGAAGTTCTTCTGCAATAGTGTCCTTATAGACAGTTTACACACAACACGTAGCAAGGATACTAAGCTTCGGAACTCGAACTCATGCTACAAAACTCAAGGTTGGCAGTTATTTCAGCTTCTTACATAGCTAACTTTTCCATGTACACTGTCACTGAACAGAATCAAGTAATTTCTGAAGTGTTTGGTCAAGTTAAACAATGAAGACCCATTTAACTACCTGTGGTGAGGGCACTTGCTTATGCTATTGATATTACTTCTTATGGTTTATAGTTGCTGAACTCTTGAAGATTAAAATGACATAAAAAACCCCACACCTTTTTTTTAATCAAATGTAAACATGTGTTGTTAACAAGGGATACTTTGACATAATTGAAAAAATACTCATATTTTTACGCTAGATAGGAAGGAAAGGAAAAGCGTTGCAGCATAATATATAGCTCGGACAGTGAGTGACAGTATGGAGTCACTTTCTCCAAATAATAGTGCTGAACTTCTGCTGACTGCGCATGATGCAGTTAAATTATTTCATAGATAGCTGTGTCATGCTGTGAATGGTACTTGCTTCAGCAAGTGCAGTGACTATGGTTAAAGAAATTAAAGCCAGATACTTTCACAGGGAATGTTTGTTTCTGGTAAGTAAGATAGAGATTTTAGAAACATTTGTACAAAATCGCAAAATTTATTCATTTCAGAAACCAGTGAAATTACCCATACTTAGGTATTTGTAGGGCTGCAATCTTGGAATGAAAACATCTCATGCAGTCCACCTGTGTACCTAAAATTATGCATTTCTTACACAAGTTTAGCTATATATAGAAAATGTACTATGGCTAGATTCTGTTGCACTATAAACACAAGGGGGCAGGATGAAGGTTATCCATGCAGACATGATGATGATGGTGACTTTGCTGTACTTTCACAGTATCTTTAACACAGCACAAGCTGCTGTGCTGCTGAAATAAATGTCTCTCTCCCTTTTCTCCTGCTCACAGTCACTCATTCCCTCACCCGAGCTGTCCCCTTCTCTGTGCTGGCAGCAGCATTTGTGCAGGTACTTGGTGAATCGGATAAAAGAGTAGGCACGATTTAAAATTAATCCAGAGGGGAAAGAAAAAAATAAAATTAGTTTTAACTTGGTTCAAGTCCCAGTCTCGTTCACCTTGGGAAGATGAGAGCACTTGGGCCAGAGCAAGGGAGGAAACAGAACAGTAGAGCACGAACATCAGGCAGGCGAGGGGAGCATGGGGACCGCTTCCTTCAGTCCCTGCTCACGCTGGCAGGAACTGATGGTGGAACGGATGGGAGTTGCTCAGCTGCAGAAAGGTAAAATCTGTGACTGTAATTCCCAACACACAGCACATGGCATGTCCGAGGGGCAGAGTCAGAAGTGTGGTTTCACAGGAATGGTCCATGTCCTCAGCCCTGCCCAGCAGCTTCTACCACTGAAAATTCTCCAGCATTCAACTTTTGGCATGGACTGCCATGGCCAACTGTCTCGGAGGTTTGCAAGTCTGGCAGTACATGGTAGGAGTTGTAAGGAAACATGGGTCTTCACTATAGAGCATTGCAGGAGTCATGGTTTCCTCCAAGGCTGCTCAGAGCCCACAGGCTAGCCAGTCTTTAGAGTGGGACTGCTTGCTTTGCTACGCTCTGACTCTGCTCTGGAGTATGGGGAGGGACATGACCCATCCCTTTCCTGACTGTATATTATTTGGAGGAGGAAGAGTGCAGTCCTTGATTGCAGGTACAGTTACATTTATCTATTTAGGCTGTATTTGAAAGAAAAACAAAAACAAAAACCCAACCCCCCAAAACCCTGTGTACTTACATCCAGGGATGCTTTGCGTTCTAGTCCTAATAAAGTATGTTTGGCTACTTGAGGCTAAAGCATTAATTATGATGCTAGGAGAGTGCTGCAAGGGGTTATATTTTGAAATGGGTTGATAACATGGATAATGCATAGTGGGACTATCCTTAGCTTCCAGTTATAATGGGCAAAGATCTCATTGGCACAGTGGGACGGAGTCATATTTAATCCATTTCAGATTCTGTCCTTTCGCTTTGCGTTCTAGTCCTAATAAAGTATGTTTGGCTACTTGAGGCTAAAGCATTAATTATGATGCTAGGAGAGTGCTGCAAGGGGTTATATTTTGAAATGGGTTGATAACATGGATAATGCATAGTGGGACTATCCTTAGCTTCCAGTTATAATGGGCAAAGATCTCATTGGCACAGTGGGACGGAGTCATATTTAATCCATTTCAGATTCTGTCCTTTCCACAGTTGATGTTGGTGTTCACTCTGAACCTTGCTGCATCTGACAATGCAAACTGTTATTTAGCTTGGTGTGACTGGCATGCTGATCAATAAAAGCGCAAGGCTAAAAATCCAAGCAATAAGACAGTGTTCTCAGTGAATACATCAGCGATGTTCGCTCATCTGGCTTAACCACTGGCTGAAGTCAAAGTAATCAGCTCTTTTATTTTGCAAGTGTTACATTCTCTTGGAGAGCTTCTAAGCTGAAGTCTATAAGAAACATGAAAAACGCACCCCATGATGCAAAACAATAATATGTTTACTGAGAATGAAGTAGGATGGGTGGAAACTTTAGTTTCATGCTTATTTTGGTTGGATTTCATGTTTGATGTTGTATTTGCAAATACCAGATGTCATCTACGCAAAACCGTAATTGATTCCATTAGATTATTTAGGATGCAGAAGCAGGAATATCTTAATTCTTGGCTCTTTTTAGAGACTGACTGTAGACAGAGGGTTTATATTTAGTGCCTTGGTCCAAGGCATGAAAAAGAAATTTAGAATCTTCAGCAAGTCAGTCTGACGAGATGAATTATTTTTCTGTAATTAAGTGTGAAAGTTAGTACATAACTATGAAGGAGCAGAATATTGTGAACTGATATTGAGCAGACCTTCTAGGATAGTGGTACAAATTGCACATACTGTCTCCAAGATCTCAGTTTGCCTTTTAGCTTTTTCAACATTTTCATTCTTCTTGAGACCCTCTAGCTTGGCAAAAATACTGGGTGGTGAAGGTGGGCCTCTGTCCAATAGAAATAATATTTCTCCTTGGTACTCTATATGATCTCTCAGACCATCACAACACAAGTATAAGCTGCTTTTGCCAGTTTTGCGTCTGGTTCTTTGCCTCCATTTGGTGGCATAGTTTACTAACAGTGTTATGATTTCCATTTGTGCTGATAGGAAATAGGAATATTATTCTATTTTGCTTGACTGACTCATTCTTTTGGGGGGTGGGTAGGTATTATGGCCCTCTGAGCAATCCCATAATCATGAAGGATTTCATTTTGCAGAACATCTGCTGTCCCTACTCTGCAGCTGAAGAAAGGAACCCAAGGGTACAGCAACTGTTTATTATACAAGTTACGAGACAGGTAGTTCATATAAGCTGCAGAGCAAGAAAGTCTGTACAACCCTGTGTGTATCTTCAATCTTGCAGTGCTAGAGGAGTGTGAAAACTAAAAAAACCTTAGAAATATGGAGTAAGGCTTCCTGTCAGTTGTAGAACTGATGGCACAAGGATCTATTTCTGTGTTTAGACAGTGTAATTACCACTTACTCCACTGGGTACTCAGGGGTAATTATTACAGAAATCCCCTTGTGCACAGAGCAGTATCTTGGGAAGAGAGCTCAAAAAGGAATAACTGATGGGGGAATCGTTTGGCTTATTACGTTTATACCAGGGCAGCCCTATTGAATACTGACTACAGTCATTTCAAACTCCACAAAATGCCTCTAGAAGATGAAAAGAAGGTAATTTCTGAACAGTTGCACCTCCCTGACTTTCCACCTCCTGCAGGAC